TCGCAAGTGGCTTTTGCTATCAAGCTTCTCAGTGGAATAGGCTTCTGGCCATCGAGGAATATTAATCTACCAGACATAACACGTATTTGTGTTTCCTAGCAGAAGGAGGTTCGATAGGTCCGATAACGTCGATGGTAATGTTTCGAAGGTAATCCTGGCCTCTGACGGATGTGATGGGAATCTTGTCCGATCGCTTTTCTGGACTCTTCAACTGACAATCTTTGCATATTTACAAAGGTTTCGACATCCTGTGCTAATGCAGGCCCAAAAAACGAATATCGTATTCTCTTCTTTGTTTTTCCTTATTCCAAGATGTGCACCGAAAATGAACTATGTGCTAATTCCAACACTTGCGCTCTTCTACTAAGCAGAAGCACTAACTGAAAAACAGTCTGTCCTAATATTTTTTCTTGGTGATGTAAAAGATGATCAATAAATAAATAATTTCCTTTTTTTTCTATTGCTAGCTTCCATGCTTCTCTCAGCGACGGACAGTTAGCTTGCTCTTCGCGAAGGCATTCAGCAGACGATAAATCTGTGTTTACATAAACACTCGCCTTCTCCCCTTCCTCCTCTTCGTTTTTCTCCTCCCTAAGCATGAGGGGGGGGAATCGACGCTGTCGTTTGACTGTGCATTGGCGAATAAAGTTTGTTAGTTTTCGCTTCCGTAATTATTTCTTTCTGCATTTGGTTCTTCTGCCGCAGGATTAATTAACAGTTCGTATATTTCTGGAGTTATTAGGCAAGGCACATTTAGCTTATCAGTCACTGCAATTAATGTATCCACAAAATTAAATATTGCTTCCATGATCTTTATGGTAAATAGGTACACACGGCAAAACATTTGCTTCAATTGGTTGTCCGAAAGCAGGTGTTAGCAATAATTTACCTCCTTCTCTCCCCTCTAAATTTGGAATGAGCGATGAATGTACGATCGTTATCTGCGTTCCAGAGTCTACGATAGCTTCGATTTTCTCAGAGTAATAAAATATCTACTTTTTGCAGTGGTTGAACGATGCGTTATGCGAATTCGGATCGTAGATGGGAATGAGTCTACTTTAGCTACAATGGCTTCTTCTTTTGATGTTCTGTTTGAATTTTTTTGAGTTTTGGAATCATCCTTTCCCTTCTTATTTACTGCAGTTCCGTTCTTTCTTCTTTTGTCTGGGCAATCTCTTGCGATGTGTTGATAATTTCCACAAATATAACATTCTTTTCTTCTCGCGTGAGATCTTTCGTGTTTTGGATATTCTTTTCTCATGGGTGGCGGAATATATTTGTCTTGTGCACATGTTGTATCCAGGAATCTCGGTGATCGCTTAATTCCATTTCGAATTTCGTCAAAAGATTTTCCTTTGGCCGTGAAATAAATATCACATTCTGTAGCTAATTCTTGAGGCTTCAGCCATTTATTTCCTTGGTGTATTGCGACGTGTTCAGCTGTTCCTTCATCTAATGCTTGGAATAATTTATCGGAAAATAATTAGCTCATTGAGTGTTTTGAAAATCCTTTACTTCTCTTGACTTGCAGTAATAGTCCCAATGTAGCTGTTAGTCTTGAAGCGAACTGGATATTGCGTTTCGCCGGAATAACGTTTAGTTCTCCTGAAGTTTTCTAAACAGGTTTGAGGAGTAGGTTGACTATTCCTTCAGAACAAGAGTTTTCACTTTTTCGTAATTTTGCAGATCTTCCTCCTTTTTTATATAAACAAGAACATTTGAAGCTTTTTCTCCAATTAATTTCAATAATATTTCTGATTTGTATTCTTCGGGAACCTTCTTGTGCTTAAATGCTCTTTCGATAGAATCGAAAAATATATTCCATTCTTCTGCTCTCTTCGGTACTGGTATAGTCAGTGTTTCTACTCCTTTGATCAACTTGTCCAGGGAAATTTCGGTTTCTCGTTCTGTGTTTTGGATTAAAGGTGTTGGACTTCTACTTCCTTCATTCTGAGTTGCTCGAATCTTCGCTAGTTCTATTTCGTGTTCTCTTTCTGTTCTTATTCTTTCTTCTTCCATTTGCATTCTTTCCATTTCTTCTTTTCTTTTTCTATTCTCCACTCTAGTAATCAGAATTTCTTTCACGAAATCAGCATCTTCGATGTATTCCTTGCTATTCTGGAGTTTGTGTTTCAGTTCTACCAGCTTCAAATCTGGGGATGCTTCTTCGCAAATTTCCAATAGGACTGTTACTAAATCCTCTTTTCTTTGCGTTTTTGAACATTTTCTTCTATTTTCCTTTAGAATCAAGCCTTTCAAACTCTCGGTTAAATAATTCTCACGTTTTTATTCTCTTTTGCAAATGAACACTTCTTTCGTTAGTTAGGCTTAACTTTACGCCTCTTCCGTTTTCAACGCTCTAAGCTTCTAACCTCTCTGGTTTTCTCGTAAGAGAGCGTGTTGTGATGACTTCGTGGTTTAATAAGGCACCATTTAGCAAGATGAAACAAACATTTATTAAACATATAAATCAAAGCATAATATAATAGTTACTCAGAGCAGTACGTCGCTCCTACCGCATAGTACAATCTACTACCTTCCTCTTCCAAGGCTAACATGCAACTCTTAATAAATACATTAACCCTTCTCGGAAAAGAGCTACCTGCGCCAAGCACGCTCTGTTGATCGCCAAACAGTCACCAGATATCACAATGACTCCAGCAAAAAGGCAAAATTAAACATTGATAGAGGAAAATCATTTCAAGAGACTTGAACAGTATCATTTGAAGTTATTGAACACAAAGCATTATGCATTCTGTGCGGGGAAAGTGTTGTGCATCACACATCTAATGTCAGACAGCACTTTAACAGCAACCACAAGATTGTTGCCGAACTTGATGAAGCTGAACGGAAGGTGTTTATTGAAGGGAAATTAAGGAATTATAATTACCAGAAAGTTGGTTTTGCAATTATCTTTCTAAAACAAACCATCTAACAATGGCCAGCTTTCAAATTTCATTGTGCCTGGCAAAACATAGTAAACAGCTTTCCGATGGGGACTTGATCAAAGAGGTAATTCCTCTTCATGACTTTCCAAATAAAGACAACATTAAACAACACATCGCTAAGATGCCACTTAGCATAAATACTGTTAAAGATCAAGTCCTGCTGATGGCAAGTGATATTGGTCAGCAGCTCACCAGTGACTTAGAAAAGGCAACCTGTTACTCAATGTGGTTGGATGAAAGCACAGATATAAATAACCATGCAAGGCTAGCAATAATTTTGTGCTATGCTGTTGGTGGTACAATGAGAGAAGAGCTGGTTAAATTGGCATCTTTGCCCAAAAGATCACAAGGAATAGATATTTATCATGCTGTGGTGGAGGCTTTTTTGCAACAGGACATAAGACCAGAAAAAGTAGTTTCAATTACTAGTGATGGTGCGCTTTGCATGTTGGGAACAACATTTGGTTTCATACAGTTCTTTGTTAAAGAAGAAAAACATCAGGTTATGCAGTTTCATTGCCTCATTCACCAAGAAGTTCTTTGTGCCAAGGACAGCTGCAAAATATTAGGAGATGTTCTCAAAGATGTCACCAAAATGGTGAATTACATCATGGCTCAAGTTCTTAATTGTCGACAGTTTCAAGCACTTCTTGATGAGGTTCAAGCACAACATAACACTTTGCTTATGTAAAATAATGTCTGATGGTTGAGCAGAGGACAGGTTTCAGAGAGATTTGTAAGCTGCTTGGATGAAATTAGGCTATTTGTGAATGAAAAAGGGCAAGATTACCCACAGCTCGCTGATATAGTCTGGCTTAACAATGTCATGTTTTTTTACAGATTTTACACAACACTTCAATGTACTGAACAAGCAACTACAAGGCCTGGGGAAAATGGCAGAAAGGATGTTTTGCGATATTAAAACATTTTAAAGAAAACTGCACGTTTTTGAAAGAGATCTTACAAGTGGGCAGATGAAATATTTTCCAAATCTAAAGCTGTGTCTAGAAAATTCTGCACAATTTGCAGACAATCCTTCAAGTCATGAAGAAATCTACAAGGAATTTTCAAACATCATAGCAGCTACAAAGGAAAATTTTAATGACAGATTTCTGTAGACTAGATTTCTACAGTTCCGTTAGATGTAAACAATCATGTGCTTTCTTACTTCTCCGGATAAATCTAAGTTTGAAGAACTTGATCTTTCCTGCTTATAATGGTTAGAACTTGAAAATCTGGAAATTGAGCTATTCGAATTCAAAGAAAGCTCTATGTGGAAAAGAAAATTCTCTTATCTGTGTACAACACTTCAGAAGACGAAGTGTAAAGAGATCACACAGGACAGCACAATTAATAGTTATGAAAATGAAATCCTTAAAGCGTGGAATTCTCTGCGAAATAAGTTTAAATCAATGAAAACCTTTGGAGGTGCTATTCTTAATTTGTTTGGATCATCTTATGAGTGACAGCTGTTTTTGTTGTTTGACTTTTAAATTAAGCTGTTTTTGTTGTTTGACTTTTAAATTAAGCTGTTTTTGTTGTTTGACTTCTAAATTAAGCTATTTTCAGCTTTGAATTATATCAAATGTGACACAAGAAACAGACTAACAGATAACCTGAGTGCTGCACGTGTTGAGCTCAAATTAAGGAAGTATGGCCCAAGATTTGACGAAATATCAGTATGCATACGACAGCAAAAGTCCCATTAATTACGCAAAACCAATCTATTTCCTCTAATTAAAAAGTTTTTTTTTAAATTTGTTGAAAACTCTCTCTTTGTTTTTTTCTCTTTAAGTCTTAGGAAGAGTGTGTGTTGTTTTGCTAAGCCAAACTCCCTTAATTGAAGTGTTGGCACTTTGCTATAAACATGCGGATTTCGGTTGAATTTTGGGCACGTGGCCCCAAAAAGTTTCGCCACCACTGCTCTATAAAATCAAAATTTATTATTAATGATTTAACTTTAATAACTTTTAATAATTTTTTAACAATTTTAAGTTAAATAAAAAGCTTATACATACACATTTATTAATAAAAAAATACAAAAATACATACATCAAATACAGCCAAGCCTTGAGCATCTCTATAAAGTCTTTCTAATTGATGTTCTTTCATTAGACTGGATGATCCAAGAGCACTCATTAGCTCTCTAAGGCAGTACAAAGTCCCTTCAGAGTTAAATACCTATACAGAAATATATATTTTATATCAAATTCCCTAATTGTAAAAGAGTGTAATGCTAAAAACAGACAGTGGCAAAAGAAAAGAAAGCAACTTACTTTAGTGATTGCACATTCTAATTCTATGTCTGGGTTTTCAGTAGTATCAATCAAAGCTGCAGTAAAATATGAAACACTTTCCATAGCATAAATCATCGCATTAATTTTAGACAATCTTCGCTGCAATAGGGTAAAATAAATAATAATGATAACTTAAGTGAAATAATCTGTATTAAAAACAGCAATAATATCAGTGACAGAATAACAGCAATAAAATCAGTGATAGAATTTTGATATCACAGAGCTATAGATATAAAAATTTCAAAAAAGAATTTTCTTATTTAAAATACAAGAGAAAAAATTAAAACATTTGATTTCATTCTTGAAAACAATACACAAAAGAAACATTTCATAATGCAAACACAAAGTAAAAGCACTTGCTGAACCACAAAGCATCTTGCAGATTAATTATTTGAAATACATTTAAAACTATACATTGGACTTATAATTACAGATGCCTGCTTTTTCTGCAGAGAATGAAGCTAAATGCATAAATTTGCATTCTAAATTTATTGCAATAAACATATTTATATGCATTTATTTGTGCAAATATACTATTCACTAACAAGTTGGCTAAACTAAATTTACGAGCTTCAGAGTAATTACTGTCACAATATTACTCATATTAAACTAAGAATAAAGAATTAAACTAATAATACATTTTACAATTTAATTTGTTAATTATCTGAAATTTTAATCAACCTAGATTTTATACAATATAGCAGTATGTAGAATAATTAACTCCAAAAATTTTAGATTTAATAACTGCAGTTGATGAAGAAAAGTTATTTATAGTAATGTTATCACAGTAATATAAATTACCTATTTAGCAAGTTCTATTGAATTAAATAGATCCCTATTAACAGACATGAGAAATTAATCATGATGAGTAATTATGCTTTTGGTATGACAATTTCAACCAAAACGTGTTAAATATTTGAAATCATATAAGAATGAAATACCTACTCGAATCATCTGAACATCACCCAAAGACTTTTCAATTCTATCAGTATGAATAATGCGCTGAGTAATGGAATCTGCAATGCCATTGAAAACAGAAGTTATTTTTTGTCTCTGATATAAATAATTAATATTTCATAACACAGTCCTTAATTAAGATGTATTTAGATCTTTTGATTTACATAAAATGTTATTTATTTGATGGTATAGAAGAAATAGAATATATTTGAAATGACATTTTCATACTGAATATAATTAAGAGTATCACAAGTAATTTAATAGCCACTAGAACATTTTTTATTTCCGTGTTGCTGCTCTGTGTATAATGTTATATTTTCCTTCTTCACATTTCAATCTTTCTAAAATTAGGTTTTTTTTTTTTTTTTTTAAATTTCTTAGCAAGAAATATATTTTTTAAAAGTGTATTTTCATAAAGTTTATATTAGAATTGGCAATATGAAACATTTTAAAGCATGTTTTTTTATATCAAAATCAGTATCAAAATGAGTTTCCTTCAGCAAAAAAATTCAAAATTGTGAAATTTTTTAATATTAACCAATTCATTTTACTGTTTTGCTATAAACAATAGAACAACTTGGAAAAAATGAAGTCATGTACTACATGCTTACATTCCAGCCTTGATAAAGAATAGAAAAACTAATATTCTGATTAATTTAATTCATCCGACAATCAGAAATGATAGTAAAATGAAACCAGTTGTACAGTTCCGGAGCAGTTTAAATATGGATACAACAAGACAAATCTTCAAATCTTGTTCAACGGAAAATTTTACACAAGGTTAGGTTAGGTTATTTAATTACAGCAAAGCCTTGAGGGCTATCTGCCTAAGGGGAGGGATGCCTTTGTGAAAGGCTTTCTAAGGAAAACTGGCTTGTATACACATTACACATAGGGAAAACCACGAAAACACCCATGCAGCCAGCCCTTTCACAGGATTCGAAATTCGGACAAATTTTACACAAGAAGAATGAAGCAAAAGTTTTGTAATATGCTATATCTCATTTTAAAAATCCTTCCTCAATGTTTTTGATTCTATTTCAGTGGTTCTTAATGCTGCAACAAACCACAGGTATTTTCGTCACCATCCCTAGTCAATTAATTGACTTTGAAAAGCTTGCAATGATGAAGTAACAGAAATAAGAACTGTAGTTCAAATTAAAGGAAAATAAAATAAACAAACAAACAAATAAAATAAAAAAATGAAGGCTTTCTTTTTTTATATAATGCTTAAAGAGGGCATTTTTTTTTGTTTTGTGCATTATCTTTATCGATTAAATATCATGTTCTTCACACTTAAAATACATATTCAACAGCAATATCACAAAATATTTAAAAACAGCGTATCTTTAGAATTTCTGACACACAATCTTGTGCGCTGAAGATAGAAATATTTTTTTCCGTATTGCTAACACTCGCTTTGAAATCGTTGAGTTTGTTAATTAAAAATTCACTTATGTTTTACAGAACTTTAAACAGATGATAAAACAAATTCAAAATTTGGGCCTCTAAGTACCCATGTTTGGTTGGAGATGACATTATTCAAAATTTGGTGGTTCTAGGCAGCGCTGGATCTTTGATTTTTCTGATGTATGGCAAAAGCTAAAACTGCTGCCCTCACCAGTGGCGTAGCGAGGGGGGGGGCAAGGGGGTGCATGATGCCCTGGGCGCCGCTCGTACAGGGGCGCCAAATGGTCTCCAAACAAGATTTTCTGGAAAATTTCAGTTTTCATTTTGATCGATTTCTGGAAAATATATTTAAAATTAATAACTATTGTAATATAATTAATCATTTATTTTCTTGATTTGTCTGATAAAATGTGTAATAAATGTTTGAAGTACATTACCACTTTATTTTTCCAAAGTAGAGATATATTTTTATTTTTTTAAATGAAATGCACGTATATTTTCCGCTTTTTATTTTAAAACGCTAACACGACCTTGTCCCGAATTTCTCAAACATAGCCAGTTTCCAAAATCTGATTGCACAATCTGGGAATGACATTTTTTGGGAAAATCCTAACGCTTCCGCTACAATGGATTGCGTTTGACTCTCCTGTAAACGACTGATGGCCTTCCTGGCTACCGATTCAACTAAGTCATCTTGCTGAGACATCGTATATTTACTGCTACGAAGCATTCAATGCATGTCAATTGTTTTTAATCTCTATTACAAAAGGAATACTGCAGGTCGCTCCTTACTCCTTATCTAAAACTCATAGATTTCGACGTCACAGACTAAATTCGCTTATTTCCAACTTGTAAACGTTATAATTTTCCTTTATAATCTCTTCTATTTCCTTTTGTTCAAAAAGGTTGTCCATTATATGGTTATTTCATACCAAACCCACAATATCCCCTAATTGTGCCCACCAGCGGCCGAGCGGTAAAGACGCTGAACACTGGTAGTTCGGTCTGAGGTTCGAATCCCGCAAACGGGCTGGCTGCATGGGCGTTTTCGTGGTTTTCCCCATGTGTAACGTGTATACGAGCCAGTTTCCCTTAGAAAGTCCTCCATGAAGACATCCATCCCTTTAGGTAGATAGCCCTCGTGTGCTTTGCCATAATTGAAAAATCCTAACCCCTAATCCCCTAACTGTTTTGAGCAGTGAATGTGACTGCATGACATTACTCCGCAGTAGAAAAGAAACGGAACTTAAAACTCCACTACAGATCTATAGAGTAAATGTTTTTCTAAGCCTAAGAGTCGCACTTCAAATACTTACTACTTCATTATCAAATGCTAACTATGAATGTTCGTTTAGCAAATTAAAATAAATTTTCACATATTTACATTCAGCAATGGGACAAGATCCCCTAAGTCATCTAGCATTTTTAAGTGTGGAAAGAGAAAAATTAGAAAGGGTCGACTTTGATGAAGTAAATGATAAATTTGCTTCATCCAAGGTAAGAAAAATGTATACATAATAATTAATTGTATTCATGTATTATATTATTATTAATAAATATAAGTGCCCGACCAAGTCGAGGTGCACGTGATTGAAGCGAGATGAGGGCAAATTAAAATTTTTAAGTTGGCTGGTGGTGTGTCTGACAATTTTAGATCTTTGGCCCTCCAAGCACGAATGTGTCCAGTTGGCTATGTCCTTTTGCATGCTAGGTTATACGAAACGTTTCTGTATCAGTTTCCTCAAAAGCCTTGATGCCAGGATGTGACAGACGATGTAACTGACTAAAAATGGCATGGCGAAATCCGGAGGGAAGATAAGGTCGAAATCTTGAATCCTGAACATCACAATAAAGTGATTTTCCAGTCGACAGCTGCTTAGACTGCAAGTTGAGATTGGTGGAAGATTTGCTTTTCAAGAGGGTTTGTAGTTTTGAATCTCGGTGTTGTTCATCCGCAAGGGCAGCAAACTTTACTGGCGAAGGAACGGCTAGTTCTTCAATACGAGACAAAGTGTCTGCAACAATATTCTGCAAACCCTCAATATAACGGATAGCTGTTGAAAATTGCCCTATGAATTCTAGGTGTCTCATTTGACGAGAAGTTTTATTCTGTTGAAAAGCATAGGTTAAGGGTTTGTGATCTGTGAAGATCATGAAAATGCGTCCCTCTAGCATATATTGAAAATATTTGACAGCTTCATAAATTGCTAATAATTCGCAATCGTAAGTGCTGTATCTGGTTTGTGCTGGTGAGAGTTTTTTAGAAAAATATGTGTCTCCTTAATTCTTCATCTTTCTGTTGTAAAACTGCTCCTATACCTGTTGTTGATGCGTCAACATGTAGAGAAATGAGGTTATTTTTTGGAAGCAGAAGAGATGAAAAATATGCAACTCTTCGCCGAGAATCGAACCGCGGACCTCTGGAGTACCGGCCCAGCGTGCAAAACCACTACACCACGAAGGCAGGCTAGGAAAGCGGGAGAAATATCTTATATACTCCCCTTTTTAAAGGGCGACTGGTATTTTTAGAGAACCCAATCGCCAAATCCTAGGTGTGGAGAATCCTCATCCAACACCCCTTTCAGTTCGGGTGTCATTGTAGAGACATTAGGCTTTTTGGGAGCAAAAGAGATTGAAAAATTAGCAACTGCTTTCGCCGGTAATCGAATCGCAGACCTCTGGAGTACCGGCACCGCGTGCAGAACTACTACACCATGAAGACACGCTAGGAAAGCGGAAGAAATACCTTATAAACGTAGAGTGATAATGATTTAGATGTGGAAGGATACTGCAGATTTGTTGCTGAAATTAAATCCTTTTTGCATTTTTGGAACTCTTCGCGAGATTCTGTGTTCCAGGTTATAAAGCGTTTATCGCTTTTCTTGCTTCCAACCAAAAAAGAATTCAGAGGTGATTGTATGGTTGCTGCATGAGGTAAGAAACGTCGATAAAAATTGAGCATAGCAAGAAATAATCTTAAGTCCTTCACTGTAGATGGTTCGGACATATCGCGGATAATGGTGACTCTGGAAGGGGTTGAACGCCATCAGCGGAAATTTCATGACCAAGAAAGGATACTCTTGATTGGCCAAAAACGCAATTGTAAAAATTAAGACTGACACCGTATTTTTGAAAACGTTCATAAACTGTTCTCAAATGTGATAGGTGTTCTTGCTCTGAAGAGGAGGCGATTAAGATGTCATCAAAATAAGGTACACGAAAGTCGAGGCCGATTAACACCTGATTCATGAAGCGTTGTAAAGTTTGAGCAGCATTGCATAAGCCAAAAGTCGTGACTGGAAACTCAAATAGTCCAAAAGGCGTAATAACCCCAGTTTCAGCTGGGTTAACGGGCACTTGGTGATACGCCCACTCAAGATCAAGGGTTGTAAAAATAGCTTTTCCCTCTAAAACTTGCATACAGTCTTGAATGTGCGGGACTGGGTAACAATCAGGAATGGTAGCTGCATTTAACCGGCGATAATCGCCACTTACCATTTAGATGGAGCGGACTGGCCCATGAACCTTTTGAAGAACGGCAAATTCCCGGTTCCATCATGTATTGAAATTCCTCTTTGGCGGCTTTAAGCTTGTCCGGAGGTAAGCGTCTTGGTTTAGTGGCAATAGGAGGTCTGTTAGTTCCAATATA